ATTTCGGTTCCCACAGTTTGGCGCTAGAAGGAGGGGGGGGGGGTCGGATCTATCTCACACAGAAGTCGCAACATGTCCAACGAAGAAACGATGACTGGTGACCAACAAACTCGCGACGAACGCCACAACGTTGATAAAACACCACCACCACAAGATGCGTCCGCGGCCAACGCTACAAACGCTAACGCCGAGACCATCGAAAAATGCTTTCCAAATTTAACAAAAAATTGGAAGAGCAGGAAAAGCTCATTGGTTCGCTCGCAAAACGGGTTAAAACCCTAACTGCGAAACCAGAGCAATTCACCCCCGTGGAACTACTAAAATCCGCGGAAAGAGGCTCGATTTCGCAACTCCTATGGATCACCCCAGATTCGAGGAGGGTACCTTACCGGAGAAGGATTCCGGAAAAGATAACACTGACATGACGCTAAACAAATCGGAAAAATCTCCTACTCTCGAACAAGAGACCGAGGGAGACGGCATAGAAAGGGTTAACCTGGAAACGAGTGACCAAGCCGACTCGTCAGGCGAGGATGCTGACGTCCATCCTAGAAGGAGGAAAACTCGCAGCCCTCTGCCGGAGTCTTCTCCTGAGTGTTCTCTTACTGGAGACGAAGAAGAGCTCTACTTTGAGCGATACGAAAAAACCGCCGAGGAGCAATCTTCGGTTACTCGCAGCAAACGCCGACGAGGTCGGAAAACTGCCGTCGACCTGACCGAGATTCGCGATCTCCACGAGTACATCTCAGATTCATCACACTACCAGCGCCGCACCCGAAATCGATCGGCTGCTATACGAATCTCGGAATCTGCTCTTCACGGCTCGCATCAGCGAGGTCAAGCTACCCGATCCCAGGAAACTTAAGGTGCCAACTTACGACGGGACGTCTGATCCCAAAGCGCACCTGCAGGCTTTCCAGATCACCATGGGACGAGCCAAACTCAAGGATCACGAAAAGGACGTAGGCTACTGCCCTCTTTTTGTCGAAAACCTAGAAGGAGCAGCGCTCGAGTGGTACGCTAAACTTAGGCGGAATTCGATCGGAAGTTTCCGCCGACTCGCTTCTGAATTCCTGAAGCAGTACTCGATGTTCATCAATTTGGAAACCTTAGACGCTGATCTCTGGAGCTTGTCGCAAAAGGAGGACGAATCCCTCTGCGATTTCATGAGCAGATTCAAACTCGTCATGGCTAGGGTTAGCGGAATCAGCGACAAAGCCTCCATCGACGCGCTCAGGAATTGGCTCTGGTTCAAGTCGAAGTTCCGAAAATGGATAACTCTCGAAAAACCGCGGACAATCCAGGATGCGCTCCACAAGGCTACCGACTATATAACCATCGAGGAGGAGACCAAAGTCCTGTCTGAAAAGCATAAGCCTACGAAAGCATCCGCAAAGGATAACGCGTCCGAGCAGAGGCAGAAAAAGAAAAACTCTCGTAATGACAAGTTCGTCCATCACTAGGGGCAGGATCTCCAAGGGGCGCACAACTACGCCATTACTCTGGATCGGAACAAGGGCGAACTACGGGTAACATGTGGACGAGAAATCCGAATTACGATGAGAATTCTTTCTGCGATCTCCACCAAACCCGTGCACATTCCACCGTGAACTGCAAAGTTCTTGGCGCTAGGCTTGCCGCAAAATTGATCGCGGGAGAAATCTCCGAGATTTCCAGCGTCAAGGACCTCATCCGTGATTTGGACCGCCTCCCAAAATATGACAGGAACTCGCGAGCGGAAACTCCGCCTCAGGGGAACCAGTCGGGCGAAAAACGTGGACGGAGGCAAGACGAGAAGGGTAACGATGCCAACCGCCAAAAAATCAACATGATTATCGGTGAATCGCAGTATTACAACGGCACCGTCTCGTCTTTCAAATCCTACCAACGCAAAGATGAAACCGGCTATAGTTGGAAGGTGCCGTCGGATGACACTCTAAAGGGGGTGATCTCATTCGACGACGGCGAGAGCGGCAGAATCGACCAACCACACGCCGATCCCCTTGTCATTGACTTAGTGATTGGCGACCTAGAAGTCGCTCGAATCCTGGTCGACACCGGAAGTACCGTCAACGTGATCTTCCGCAACCCTTTAGCACGCATGGGAATAGAACTCTTGGAAGTCGAACCTATTCCAAACCCGTTGACCAGCTTTTCCGGCGAGACATCCATGACCTTGTGATCAATCCGACTCCCGGTGGCAGACAAAGAAGTGACGATAATCGTTAACTTCGCGGTAGTCAATTTCCCGGCCATCTACAATGTGATCATGGGCACGCCTTGGATAACTTCCATGAAGGCGGTTCTGTCGACATATCACTTAGGCATCAAATTCTCGACTCCTACGGGAATCGCAGCAATTTGGGGATGCCAAAGACAATTGCGATCCTGCTTCCTAGCAGAACATAAGCTGAGGCAATTGGCGGTTGCAATCGTGAAACCAAAGCAGAAGAAGGGGTTTGGACGAATGCGGGCGGATCGTCGACCTCTAATTTTCCGAGCATTGATTTGGATCAAGTTCCGGAGTTTGTTAGAAGGTCTGAGAAAGCTAATGAGGTTTGTCTTTATTTTGAGCGATTTTATTATCAGTCGATCTCTCTTATCCCTTTTCTTTGGCAGGGTTTCCTCTTCATGAGCTGGGCCCTAGATAACCGTAGTTCTGAAGGTCGTCTTGCCGAGTTTTGAGCAGATTTGGCCAAATAAGAAGTTGCTCGCCTTCGGGCGGAGATTGAGGCCAACCAAGCTGAAGAAATGGTTGAGAGGGAGATAGCTCGCGTGACGGAGGAATGTGCGGTTAGCTCTTGCCGTGCCAGGGAGCTTTCCGACCAAAGAATTCGTCGCGCTCGCCGTGCAGACAAAAGGGAGATCACTGAGGAGATGAAGGCCCGTCGTGAGTGATTTGCAACCGGTTATTCGAACGCTGAAGTTGCTGAACGGGCGATCGGTGATTATCGCGAATGTCGCGGTGTTGTTCATGGGTTGTCTCTTACCCAGAACAAAGGGTATTCGTATGTCAAAGAATATTTCGCGTAGAGGGGGCACCTGGATGAGAAGAGAAACATGCAACCCGAACGTTTTGATCTTAGGGCGCGCATGTGGGATCAGTGGACCCCCATCGTGGTGTCGCCGGATTCGGTCGAGGTCGGACCTGAGATTCCGGACGCGGACGGCAATTTTAGTTTTCCCAATAAGATGAATATGTTTTTGATTAGGTTGGGTTGATGTGTTTATGTTACTGATGCTCTGTTTTTCTTTTTGTTCTAATATATAAGAGATTACAAAAATCAATTTCTTGGACAACAGTATCTAATCGATTGAGTTACTGGCTTTATATTCCCTGTACAACATAATGAATTTACAACCGATGTCAATGTCAATGTCAAGACCAAAATTTTATGTTGTCAACAGACACAGACGGAAGAACAAAGGAGGACAAATAACTGTTCTTTGTTACACTGAATGGTGATTTCAAAGGAAAAAACCTTCCATGTATTAGTGTCGCAGTATCATTGCACTAAATGTTGTTAATCATTTAAGGTAATAACCCGTATATACTTCATAGGTTGGTTGACATAAATAATGCAATGCAATGGCATTTTTGTAATTTTTCTAGTAAGTTAAGAATAATTAATTTTGAACTGTGCAAAGAATTAAAGTGATGACACCTCAGCATAGAAACTAAAGTCACAACTTAAAATATTTTCAGTTTAATATATAAGAGATTTGCGGTAAGACATTACCAACCAAAACCAGTCAAGAACTATATACCTTCGATAATATATATCATCAAAATATATTGTACACAAGTTATTGGAAAGAATAAACGGAAAAAAATATAGAGAGAGTTTTTATTATATATATTAGATCTCGACCCGCACAACCGTGCGGGTATTTTAATACGAAAATCTGTAAAATTATATAATATTCCATCCGTTTCAAATTAGATGATGTTTTAAAAGATTTATTTTGTTTCCAAAAATAAGATGTTTTGAAATTTCTAGAGGTATCTTGAGGTTTTAAGATTACTTTTAACTATATTGTAAATTGTTCAACCATTAAATTTTTTTTTTTTTTTAGTAATTGGTTGAATGATTTTAAAATTATCTTTAAAAATACTTTTTTAAAATAATATAAATTTCTTTGTATAATGATCCAAAACATCATATATTAAGAAACAGAGGGAGTAAAATTTATCAATAAATAATTAAAATTTGTAGTCTATATACTATCCAGTTTTATAATAATATTTACTTGGCTTATAATATTATTAATATAAATCTTATAATAATATTTGTAGCAATTTTAAAAAACATTATTATGTAACATTACTAATTTATATATTTTCTTTTATTTCTAAATTTAAAATATATGTAAAAAGTAAATTAAGTTGGACCTACATAATACATAAACAAAATTTTGGGATATTGTTAAAAGTAGTTCACATAATTTTAATTTTTTGTATATAAATAAAAAATGAATTAAAATTTTTAATCAAATAATTTTTGAAACTAAAAGATTCTAAAAGATTTTAAAAGATTTTGTTAAAATTTTCTTAAAATTATTTATTTTTATTTCAAAAAAAAAATTAAAGATATGAAAAGATATTATAATGATGTAATATAAAATTTTATAAAATTTCTAAGATAAACTAAAAAATCACACATGAATTGAGTGATGACTTCTCTTTTAATATAATAGATTTTTGGCGTCTACATTAGAAGATGAACAAATTAGTGGCGTGAAGGCTCAGAGTTTTCTTCGTCACCTTTTTGTTGCTTAGTTTCAGCATTTGCCTCACTTTTGTCCACCAAATGCTCTATCATTGCCTCCAGCTCATCCAAATCTTGTGCGACTTTTTCTACCTGAAGTTTTTGTATGTTTATTTCCAACGACAGTATAAACCTTATATTTGTCTATTCAGAGCTTGAAGATTATCTTATACTGAAAATATTTTCTTTTGGAGTTTACCTTCGTAGTGTTAAAATGTTAAATTTCAGTAAACATTTCAAATATTGATTCCATTGATACAGTATGTACCTTGTGAAGAAAATCGTGGGTAAGATGTGCTTCGTGTGCAGCAACCTCTGAAATATGTTCCAGAACCACAGCCACTTGCTTAAGTTTACTTTGCTCAGGCAGATTCTTTTCCATTACTTCAGCCATGTCTTCAGTCGCCATTGCCACTTTTTCTACCATTTCTGCTACAGCCTCCATCCCCTCCACCACCAAGTCCGCCTCTCCTGCATCACATCATTCAAATTTATACTATGTTTTAGAAGGAACATAATATTTTTATACATGACATGTATGCATTTTGCACGTCATCTTGTTACAAAATATCTATGAACAATGTTTTCTTATAACCAAATATTATTAACAAATATTGTGATGTCAAAAAAACAAGAGGAGAATGTGATTCCAATGTGGGTTCATCTTATGCAAGTTCCTCTGCATATGTACTCATGGGAGAGCCTAAGCTTTATAACTAGTACGGTGGAATTTCTTGATAAGCTCCATCCAGAAACAATAGCATGCTATAATCTGGAGGTGGCTAAGGTTTTTGTGAATGTAAATGTATCAAAAATTCTTGGTCCGGGTTTGTCTCCTCTGGTTGGGTAGAAGCGATGGGTGCGGAAGCTTGTTGCTTCTCGACCATTGCTGGTTTTGGGTCGTTCTCTGCGGGCGGCGGTGTGAACTTCGCTCGTTTCGGTTTCACGATTGTGACCGCCAATTGCCTTAGCTTATATTCGGCTAAAAATCAAGATTGCGATTGTCTCTGGCATCCCCAAATTTCCGCGACTCCTGTAGGGGTCGGAAACTTGATGCCTAAGTGATATGTCGACAGGACCGCCTTCATGGAGTTTATCCAAGGCGTGCCCATGATCACGTTGCAGATGGCTGGGGAATCGACGACTGCGAAGTTGACAATTTTTGTCACTTCTCTGGCTGCGACTGGTAGTCGGATTGATCCTAGAATCATAGATGTTTCGCCGGCAAAACTAATCAACGGCTTTGGTATCGGCTCGATCTCCGATAAATCGATTCCCATGCGTGCAAACGTGTTGCGGAATATTACGTTGACAGTGCTTCCAGTATTGACCAGGATTCGAACGACTTCTAGGTCACTTATGACTAAGTCAATGAAGAGAGGATCGGCGTGTGGTTGATCGATTCCGCGGGTTTCTGCGTCAACGAAAGAGATCACCCCCTTCGAGGTGTTATCCGATGGCACCTTCCAACTCGAGCCAGTTTCGGCTCTTCGTTGCTAGGACTTGATAGATGAGATGGTGTAGCTGTAATACTCCGATTCACTGATGATCATATTGATTTTTCGACGGTTAGCATCACTACCTTTCTCATCTTGCCTTCGTTCGAGTTTTTCGCCCGACTGGTTCCCTTGAGGCAGAGTTTCCGCTCGCGAGTTCCTGTCATTTTTCGGAGGGTGATCTGAGTCACGGATAAGATCCTTCACGCTGGACATCTCGGAGAGATCTCCTCCGATTAATTTTGCGGCATGTCTGGCGCCGAGAACTTTGCAGTTCACGGTAGAATGCCCAAGGGTTTGATGAAGATCGCAGAAGGAATTCTCGTCGTAATTCGGTTTTCTTGACCACGTGTTCCCCGTACTTCGCCCTTGTTATAATCCGGAGTTAATGGCATAGTTGTGAGCCCCTTGGAGATCCTGCCCCTTGGAGATCATGCCCCTCGTGATAAACAAATTTGTCGTTACGAGAGTTTTTCTTTTTCAGCTTCTGCTCGGATGCGATGTCCTTTGCGGACGCTGTCGCCGGCTTATGCTTTTCAGAAAGGATTTTAGTCTCCTCTACGATGGTTATGTAATCGGTAGCTTTGTGAAGCTCGTCCTGGATCGTTCGCGGTTTTTTGAGTGTTATCCACTTTCGAAACTTTGACTTGAACCAGAGTGATTTTCTGAGCGCGTCGATGGCGGGTTTATCGCTTATTCCACTAACCCTAGCCATGACGAGTTTGAATATGCTCATAAAGTCGCGAAGGGATTCATCTTCCTTCTGCGATAAACTCCAGAGATCAGCGTCAGAAGTTTCCGAATTTATAAACATCGAGCACTGCTTCAGGAATTCGGAAGCAAGCTGGCGAAAACTCCCAATTGAGTTTTGTCTAAGTTTGGCGAACCACTCGAGCGCTGCTCCTTCTAGGTTTTCGACGAAAAGACGGCAGTAGCCCGCGTCCTTTTCGTGATCTTTGAGCTTGGCTCGTCCCATGGTAATCTGGAAGGCCTGCAAGTGCGCTTTGGGATCAGCTGTCCCGTCACGTGTCGGAACCTTGAGCAATCTGTAATATTGCTCTACAAATCTATAGTTATGAAGGTGTATGTCGATTCAAATGAAATTCCCTTGAAACCTAAATCCGAAGGAGTGAAAAATTTCGGTTATAGTGGCTGCAACATGTATGAAGGTGTATGTATATATACTTAAGTGGCTGCAACATATCATACTTATAGTGGGATGGATTAAATTTCTTACTCGGCTTTGTTCGATGGTCAAATTAATCCATCTTTGATGGCTTCTTTTCGCGTTTATGATTTTAACACCGTAATGTGTATCTTGTTCAAGTTTTTCCAGTTTGCGTTCAAGCAACTAAACTTCTACTCCTAACCTTCCTGACTTGTGAGAAAAGCCATATCCAAATAAGTGAAATATAGCTTCAATTAGGAAACCAGTTCAGAAAGTTCTTGTTACCATGTAGCGTTCAAGTCGCAAGTTGGCAATGGAATGTTCTATTTCCAAAGTGCAGTGATAAAGTATTGATTTGAACTCTTTCTGCATTTAAGCTCTTCGTTTCGTACATAACCACATACATCATACATCTGATCATGTGGGTTTTTTGATAGGGTTGTTTAATCTGCAACTAATCTACATATATGAAATCAAAAACAAAAGAAAATAAGAATGAATTAGAAAGTCGCCTGTAAGACCTACACAATTTAGAGTATTTGAATAACATAGAAATAACATTTACATCAACCATCAACATATAAACCCACATGAGTTTCCCACCGGGTTTGACATTCCTGGCTTCTCAGAATTGGAGAAATCTGACGTGACCAGCAGAATTTTCCGACAAAAGAAGAATTGCGAAAGTCACCATTGGAGGAAGATGATAGACGTCGTTGCAGGCACATTAGGTTTCCAAAACTATCGGGCCAAATACATTTGAAGCCCATAAACGAAAATCAAAACGGCCCATTCATTGTCCACGTGGACATAATGACATGGCGTCTACGTGGCACCCTTGAGAGGGAGAGAAACATAAGATTATATAAAAGATTTATATGTAGTATTATATAGTGAAAATGAATATACCTCTGATCTTCAATAGAGAAACCCAGAAAATCAATATCGTTTTCCCCACCTCATTACAACAAATCGGGTTAGTGTACAACTAATTACCATGCCGATAACATCTGAAACAAATACTTGTCATTAAAACACAATGATTATAGCTATCTTTTTAAGATTAACTCATATCAGTACTCACAACAAAATTTTTGAAGTCAAGGCTCCTATAAATAATATCAGAGAACCTCAAAGGATAGAAGCACAATGAAGAAGATGATACAAAATGAATGAGATTGATTATGGGGGATATACTGAATTTGAATTTAAATATATTAATAGTTCTACCAACGTTTGTCTTTTTCTTGAAATCTTTAATCGAATATCAATTATTTTCCCGGAAGTCATCAACAAAATATAAAACACATTCATGAAGAATAATTACATGAAATATAGTCTGTACAAAAATGAAACACATACATTTGTACATGATACCAAATTATTCAAATAAAATGATGATATATAGGCAGAGAATTATAATTTTACTTAAACAACTACCTCGGAATTAAGAAAATTCAATTTCACATAGTACAATCAAGGATATGGTAATTTGATTTTTCCGTTTTCGTGGTAGCTTAACTTGTATATGCTGTATGTTTTTCTTAAGCACGATTCAGATTGGAAAAAGATGTATAAGTGATATACTATGGTTTTTACCACTTTTAAGCCATATTATAAGTCCTTTATAGAGTCTTTATACTATTTTATGGTTTTTCAGGTTAGGTATGTTTTGGAGTAATGTGGAGATCAAGGAGCCAATTCGAACTTAAAGAAGAAGAAACTTGTAGCTGTGCAGGAAAACGGAAGTCATACCTGAGATTTTGAAGGAGTTGTGATCGACACATCATTAGTTTCCATATAGCTGCAACTTTAGGCCAGCTCAGCAGTTTCTAATTATTACAAGAAGATCCCTAACCCGATTTTAGACTTATATATATTATTCTAAAGCCATTGTTTAGGCTAAGCTTTTATTATCCTTAAAAAGGTTTTTGGTGAGAAGATCACAAAACTCCTTCAGAGATTTGATTGGAACTCCAGTATTTCTATCACTATTTATAAATGCAATTCATTCAGATTATTTGATGTATTTCTTAATTTTGTCTGAGTAGTTTACTTGTTAGATTTAGCGTTTTCAAGAGTTTTGATGAAGTTATAAAATATACAACTGTTAGGTTTATCATATAGGATTCTTCACATGATTTTTCTTCTTGCTTGTTTCTATAATAGCTAACTAGAAACCTGATCATATAAATAATTAGGACACGCAAGAGCATGGTCAATTACCTGAACTAAATCATGCTGAGATAAGTTAATAACCTAAAATAGAGTTAGCTTAGGAACTTAGTGAAACACCTAATATCAAGGTTAATGCTTGTCTTGAATAATTTGATCCTCAACGAAACTTGGCATCTGATAGGTTTAGACATCTGATTCGACTCACAACGAGAGCTGGATATCTTAGTACTGAATTTTAGTTCTAGGATGGTTCTAATTTAGACCCTTAGCATATATACATTTTACTTCTGATAACCTCTTTGAAACCCTAAGTTTGGCGCCTTTCCCATTCATCTTACAACCGATTTTATTGTTTTAATTCGGTTGCTTGCATAACTTGCTATTTTTACTGATTTTTACTGCTTTTAATATTGATTGCATAAAGTAATCTTAAATCTAAACCCTATGGTGTGATCCTCGCTCTATGGATTCGATCCCTGAGCTTGCAATCGATTTCTTATTTGAGAGAGATTCTCTAGGGGAATTTTAGCTACATCAATAAGTTTTCATGTTGGTTAAGAGAAGATAATACCTTTCACAATTAGAGAAAAGTTCAAAACTATTTCTATTAGTTTAACAAAATAAATATAAACATAGGGTAGAAAATTAGTATTTTTAGCTTACCTTCGTTTGTA